AGATGCAACAGCAATCAGTTACGTGTGCGCTGGAAAGACGTACCGTTTGACGTAAGAGAACCCAGACGTCTGTGTTACGTAAGATCTCGWAACTACGCCTACGTCGTACGTATTTAGTATTTATTTCAATAGACCTTGCTTTATACTCTTATTTGTTTCTTGTTTCTTGTCTGAATGGGATGTGTATTGAGTAAGATCTCCCAAATATACTACATTAATTCTATACATACTTCTTATCTTTTAAAATCAGTAGGAACAAACTTAACAACGTTTCTGTAATCGACTTTAGCGTATTGTCTTACGTAAAACTAGTCTTCTAAACTGAGAAAAACGTAAAAGTGCAGCCGTTATGTGAAACAGATTATGGTATTATCAACGAATGTAACGCAGTGCTAATATATACTTACCCCTCTCCCCCATAGGATCCAGATGCAGCTCCCAAATCAAATCTAATGAAAGCTGCTTCGGTAGGAAATCTATCTATCGCACCGGAAAACATAGAATCTTCACCAGACTTGTCGCGTAAACGGGCTGGTAGTACGCGGTCAACCAAGTCAGACAAGTCAGAGTATGGTCARGAGACGTACTCCATGATGGAGTTTGCTATGCATAACTTTAGACACGGACAGTAAGTATTAATAGTTTATTGTAATCGTTAGGATATAAGAGATGGATACTGGAAAGAGTAGGTCGCGGAATGCACTTCCCTAAATTCGCCCCACACATTCCCAAGATCCGCCACACCACTCCCCAAGATCTATCCAACCGCGCCCCTGTAGTGTGATCATTGCGATTTATCGTTAAAACCATGATCACACTTTTCCTGGTTCTCATGAGTAACGCAAATACAGCCGCAAGTGAATAAAAAAGTGTCATTTCTAACGGTGCTTTTGCCTTTGCATTGCTCGTGTGAACCTGGCGTCGGTTCATGACACTTGCATCGCTGTCATCAACATCACAATAGTATCATCACCATCAATATTATCCTAATAATGTTATTAATCGTTATTTATTGTCAATAGGGAAGTGGTCCACCGTCAACCTGACGGCACAGTTCGTGGTACTTTACGATTGAAAGGCAAGCAGTCTCACAGAGGTAATATTGGATATTAAACTGATAATTATCGTTATACAATGTCGTAATATAGCTATAGCTCACAAGATAGGAATAAGATGTCATTTCRTATTATTGAGTCAACTGATATGTTTATAGTCTAGCATTGTTCCTCGACCCGAAGGGAATGAAAATTGAAGGACGATGTTTTGTGTTTTATCAGGGAGTCCAAAGAAAATGGAGTGGACTTGGAAAGGATTGGCAGAACTGGTCAAGTATAGCAAGGTAACTAGTTGCGTCGTGTCCCAGTAGATTCTTTTGTCGTCGACATAGTTTGAAATGCTAGCTAATGTACTTTAATCATTGTTTACTACAGACATCCATACAAGCGTCATTGCTACGACTAGAGCCTCAAAATAACAAAATTGCCATCGAATGCTTCCACGGTAAGTCATACAGATAAACTTTGGTTCTCCCGACACTGGAYCACGATGCAGTRACATCTCTTTATWACAGACACCTTTGGGACCAAAATTAAGTGTYCGAGATAGCGAATGTCCGTTGTAAAGGGTGTAGAGTGGGGATTTTTTACTGTCRGTAGTAACGGGAATGTCCGTAATATCGGGGTGTTCGCCAGGCAAATGTMGACTGTAGTTGAACCCCCTTGGAAGAGATTCGATGTCTTTTGACAAAGGAAGTAAAAATAAAATTATGTTACCTCTGTACAAGTTGGTGTTTTTTAATATAACTGTTTTTTAAAATATTAAAATAAAATAAAATAAAATATCTTTCTTTCTTTGTAGCAATCATGAAGTTCATGGGAGACATGCCAATGGGACGAGGACAAAAAGACACGGATCTAGTCTACTTCCTAATTAAGGTATATTGATGGTTAACAATCGATCAAGTGCTTTTAAGGGGGAGAGGGAGGGGCTGTTTGCGTCTTTAATTCTTTCTATTGTTGTATTGTACAGACTTGCAGAGAGAACGCAGAACTTTGTGACGAAGTTTACTGCCAGCTCGTCAAACAAGTCACAAGCAACAAAAGTACACAGTCGTAAGTATGCGTGACATGAACGTGTTGATYGGAATGCGTGACACATTTGTACGTGACTCAAATTTGCGTGACAGAAACATGATGATAGATATGGTAAACAATGTGCGTGACGCTAACTACACAACACCTGTTATTTTCAGTGACAGCTGTAGTCGTGGCTGGCGTCTTATGATCATAATGACGTCATACATAATGTGRGACAAGACTCTCAAGCCTTATTTGGTGAAGTTTTTACAAAGCACMGCTTGTGATCCAAAGCGAGAGTTTCATGGTAGGTCTATTGTCATGACAACCGCCATAGTCTTTTTAAAACTATCTTTATTTTACACTGCCAAAAACCTGTCATCCTATCTCGCTGTTAACATACTGGGTTTGATTTTTTTWAACTTTGTTTCGTGATTGTAGGTGCTGCCTCTATCTGTGAACAAAATCTGATGAAAACRTTRAAATATGGSGGACGACGAACYCATCCATCYCCWATTGAACTCAAYCAACTRGTGGTTAGTATTCACACGATAAAGATTGCTTTCTTGAAAAGAAATGTACTGCTAAATATTAAYAGATTTTTTGACTTTTGCATATTGAARGACTTGGACGGTGATTAYAAGRTGTCGGATTGTCCTAGRACTTGTAAAGTTCAAAAAAAATAATTTTTAGAAAATGTGYCTATAATGACGTCATCATAGTTTGAGCACATTTRTGTCGTCATTTTATCTGACGTAACTCGTATGTGATTTGTTCATTACAGCAAGGAAGACAGACGAAGCGTCAAGTATTCCTGTTGCCAGGGAAGATAAACAAAATGATGAAAATACAAACGTGTTCGGTAAGTAATGAGATGGATGGGGTGTGATATTTTATGTTACAACCCCACCCACRCGACCGTACTTACAGATTATTTGTTTTTCTTAGACGGGATATGACGTCATCAAGGAAATGTGRAATGAAATGGACCTGTCTACCGAGGGCGATTATAGTGAATATGGACTCTTTAGCAGTGATTCAAAACGTGAGTAAATTTGTCGTCGCTTGCTCGTATAGGTYTCGGTTGTACTTCGGAAGCTTTCGTTATTAGCCTCGGAACCTTTTCGGAAGGCTTTCGTTTTTCTAAGACTATAGCTGKACAGTTGAGGCGATCTTTTTCGGATGCACTTTATTMTCTTTAAGGATTTTTAATGGCAATTTCCATTACCTTTTAGAAAAAAATATGGCACCAATACAAACGACTGATTACGTTATGGATGTCATTGGTCAAATGGAAAAAGGAAATACCGAGTTCAATCTGTGGTTTCGACGAGTTCTCTGGATTCAAACGTCACGATTCGATAACGAACTATACTGCACTGTCATCTATCACCAGGTATATTGATATCTTTGCATAGAAACACCTTCTCAATGTCTAAGAACCTCTAATATGATTCTTTGTTCGTCTGTAGATCCTACCTGACTATACAGCGGGATATTTAACGGGCGTTTTGCGTGATCGCAGTGTAACAGATGCAATGGTAAGACATTTTCCAGACAAGAAAAACATGTTAGTGTAATAGAGGAAATGTTTGTACAATCCCGTTACTATTTCAATCAAAGGATCAAGCTACCATCTCCCCTCTCCCCTATTCAATGTTGATTTGGGGACTGCAATCAGACAAAAATACCCCCCAAAACGTCAGAGAACTCTCCCACCAATTTTGAGCAGGGTAAGGGGTCATAGGTGACCCGTTTATTTTGCGGAAGATTGTAGTCGTAGTTTGCTGCGGTTTCTTCTCAGATTTACATTCTTAACTTTTGTTTTTACATTTAGTTACATAACCAAGTGGCGGAGCTGGGGGCGTTACAAATTCTAGCCAGTGACAATGGTTCACATACTCCCATACAGTAAGTGTATTGCTCGTGAATCAAAGCAAACTAGACGTCAATTCTGATATATATTATGTTTTCTAGGAGTGATGTRGACAAAGTTATTCCGAGATTCATTCGAGATAAGCTACGTGCGCAACAATGGCTGATTCTTGTACAGGACCACTTTAGAAGCTCAAGTTTTACGCCTGCGCAGGCCAGGAAAAGGTTTCTAGGTAACAAAATACGTCATGTTCACGTGATTTAACACTGACCTGTCATTTGTCAATTTTAACGGCTGAAAATCCTTGGTTAATCAGGCAGAGCTAGCTTCTTCAGATAGAGTTTCTAATGTTCTTCTTTTGTTACAGAAATCGTTTCGCAATGGCAGTTCTTTGGCTCTACYTTTTTCTCTGTTAAGGTAAGAGTTTGATCTGAATTCGCTTCTTTGCCCGATGTTCCTTTAACCTTGGAAAGGGTATCATGACAAGCTACTCCAGCTGGCAGAAAAGAYGCACTGGGCGCGCCGTGATCGTGCGATAACAAACKCATCAACCAAGCTGMGGCAAATTMTACTWATSTGTTTTACTTGGTTTACCTGCACTCCAAACTTAAARAAAATGATATTAATCATTATTTTTCTATTTGATATCAGTATTGCTCTCACCCAAATGTCGCCGGGGAATGCATCGCGGCCATTAACAGAAACGGAATCAACTTCATCGACGTCACGTCAAAGGTAACGAGGATTCTTTGCGTTTCCTTTTTTTTTCATTCTTTTTTCTATTTCCTTTTATATCCCTCAAATTCATTTCTGTTCTTTCTATTCTTTAGAAACTSTTACAAAGTGAGACGTTTGCTCGGATCATTTCAACAAGAATTCTGATTTCCGACAAGAAGAGATTCTTCCTTGACTTAAAGATCGGCGATTCCATGGTACAAAAAGTCACAAGAATGGAAACACAAGAGGTACAGATTATTATTATAACTTGTTAAAGTTTATTTTAGGAAAAGGTGTATTGTGAAGTTTGTTTTTTTTTTCGTTTCCTTTCGTCCAGGCGAAGGAGATTGCTGGCTTGATTTACAATTACGTGAATGTMGCGTCTGCAGTGATGAATCGACCGCACGAAGGCTTGGCAGGAGTAATAAGACAGCAAGATCTCAAACTATAGTTAAMACGAAATTCATCCCAAAAACCGATGTCACTACACAAATCTTAATCAGATCATAACAGACAAGGGTTACCCACAATGCAAATGGGATAAGTCACAGACACGTGATATTACCCATAATTCATTTCGAAAATATTAAAAACGTTTGATGTTGACCATAATTACATTTGAAAAATTAACATAGTCAAAAATCATCGAAACAAAGCACAACATTTTCTTTATAATGAAATATTGAAATGGTCCTTTAGAGGGCATACAAATGCAATTACAAGTGGCTCTCCTAGAGCGGCCRAAATTTATTGTATCGAATCACTTATAGATAATATATGTAATTAGACATGACCTGTGTCTTGCCTTACGCAACAAGCGTCGATCACCACATCGAATCTTCCTTTACAGACGTTTGATGTCACGCCTGGATAAGATTGTGTGACGATTCCGTCACGCAATGAAACGATATCGTGAAGGCCATACACGTCTGCAAAGGAGGAATCGTGTCATGAAATTTTTCGCAATAATGTTTGGAATTATAGATAAATCTAGTTACAACCATGTAAGAATGTTTGAATGTAAGTTGAATTGCAAGGTAGAGCTTTAAGTGCCAAAGACACTTTTGGAAATTAATATAAATATATTCATGTTATAGATCTATGAAAGTGTTACATCTGAGGTAACGTGACCACGGATACAATGTTTTCTAAACATCGTGTGAGCGTTACAGCGCTACAAAACGACACTATTGAAAAGTAGTACAAACATTTAGAGCAATAGATATAACATTGTCATGGGRAATCATCATCATAATAATCTCTTATACGATATGCAATAAAATTTCTAGTATAGTATTTTCAAAWACCAGAAAAAAGAACAATTTTGTACAAAATGCATTGAAATGATATTTTGCTATTCAGCCATCTGCACATATATATATATATAGAAACTCGTTATATTATTGGATTCTAGTCTTTCATTTTCTTTGTGAAACTATTATTGAAACAGAAGTACTGTCTGTACGTCACATGACGATGGAGTATTTCAGTTATTTTGTTTGGAATTGATAGAATTCTGCATGGTTCGTCACTCCTGGATAGCTGTTGTATGTACCATGATTTGTTATTAAAACATATGAACAACTTATGTCAGTCTCAAAGTCSWTTTTTCATTGGCATGTTTTGATTTTGCGATATCAGAAAATGGTGCGCAAAATTTCTTTTCCAGCTGAAATTTTTTGCGCAAATTTTCCAGTCGTTCCAGTTTTGAATTCTCTTTTGTTTAAACTTAGCTTCAGTCAATCATAATTTTTTATTGTCTTCTTTGTACACAGAGTGTTTGCGTTACAATAGGATCTCTGCTGAATAAAAGAATATATTACATGCTTTCGAGGTCAAGGCTGCACAAATAAGAATATTGACAGAGCGCTCTAAGAGCGCTTAAACAGATATCCTAGTGACTGTTTGGGTGACATGGTTCTGTCTTGCTTTTATTAAGCTATCAAAAATGTTCCTCTAATTTCTATTGTTCTTTGCGAGGCCTGCAGACAATGTGATATGTGTGGCAGGATACTCGGAGATATATCGGGATATATAAGGTCCTACAATAAAAAAATTGACTTGTGCCTATAGTGTCTGTAGGAGGAGAAGAGACACATTTTGTCCAGTAGAATGATTTTTATTAAAGAGCTTTTAAGTGTCACGTTTTGCAGTTTGTTCTTGTTTTGTGTGGTGGATAGTTGGAGGTATTGTTTTCTTTTGTTTGCTATCAACCGATGCAAAATATATAGTAGTTTTTGCTGCACGGTGAAGACAATCTGGTTGTTAAAACCTCCTGCTGCTGAGCGTCCAATAAGGTTTTTAGTGGTACTTTATATTTCCTTATCTATTAAAACTAGAATGACGAGAACAAGAGAGGATAGAAAATAAGACGTAGTAAAAGAAAATACGAAAAAAAGAAAAACACGACCGTTCTGGGACTCGAACCCATGACAGCAAAATCGAAAAAAAGGTTGGGACGATTCCCCCGAGACATTCTGTGAAGCTGAGGCGGCGAATCGATTTACATTCCGGTTAGAGATTTCGGCTCTTCCATGCTATCCCGATAATTGGTCCTAACTTCGCGCTAACTAAAAAAGCCAGTGAGGGAGAAGCTATCCGGCCCCTAGACACTGATGGATAACCCCTTGCACTAACTAGGCAACTATCGAAAGTATAATGTCAAATTGGGGTAGTCTATTCGGTGAAAGTGTCAAGTGGTCTATTATTATGTAAATGAGCGTGGTCCAGTGGCGCACCGCGTTAAGGCGCTGCTTGCAAATCCAATGTGTAGGTTTGGTGGTAGTGGGTCGAATCACCTGGACCATACCGTTTAATGATTTTGTTTTTCATTTCTCTTTTATTTATTGTTTATATTCTTTTTTTATTTATTTTTTCATATTTATTGTCATCTTTTGTGCTTTATTGTACTATGAGCGG